TGGCATTAAAAAACAATAATCGGCTGTCTCCAAAGAAGAACGAGCCTTCTCTAAAAAAAGTGAGGTATCAAAATTACCATCATACCTTTCTCCTGGGACCAACTTACCTATCAAATATATGCATAGGCTGGAAGGTGGTCGGACGTGATTATGTCGCCAGTGTAGGCCTGGTCATCCACCGCCTCCATAAGGTTCTCTGAACACAGGATATGGTCAATGACTGAGGCTCCCCAATGGCTCAGAAACGTCAGGTCTGTACAGGTTATGCTCAAGGAGGTAGTTGGTGAGTAGTATTCCGTTCGCGTTGGTGTTGGTGTCTCCGAATTGAGTATGTCTTGCGTTGAGGTCGCCTATTAGAACGGATTTAGGAAGGGATGATTTCTCTAGGAAGAGTTCGGTGGTAATGGTTGTAGAGTGTGATTATGGTTATGGTGTTGTTGTTTATGTAAAGATCGATTGCGAGGCAATCGAGGGATTGGATATTGGGAGGTAATAAGGAGTGTTTTTTGTGTGGTATGCCGTGCTCTTGATGAGGATGGATGTGGATGAGGATGATGAAGTGGATGATTTCATCTTCCGTTATATTCAGGTCCACCCCTTTTATGACGTAGAACAGGTGCGGTGTGTTTGTCGTGTTGCTTTTCTGTTGTAGGTTTGGGCGTAGGTCTATGACCTTTATTGAGGTGTCGTCTGTTCTTTCTCTTAGTATTTTTTGTAAGGTTTCTGGGGTAGACCTTGGTTTTGTTAGTTCTGATTCTTCGGCGTCCTGAGCGTTGGTAGTACTGGCTTCGCCTACCTGGGTTTGGCTGGAGTCGAAATGTGTTTACCTACTTCAGGTGTTTTGTTCTAGTGCTTTCCTTTTACCTGAGGATTTAGCTCTGTTCCTTCTTCGGATGGATTTGATTACAGGAATCTGGGATCCGTCACGCACCAAGGGTTTACGAGGTACTTCCTTTTGGTTTAGGTAGTTCACTATTCACTTTCACTGGTTTGGTTTCAACCTCTGCAGGTCGAGATCTAACACTCGAGACTGCATGCTATCATCTAAACAGTAGGCTCTATGATGTTTTTGATGTACCAATTCCCCTGAAAATTAATCGTACCCGTAGATACCCGCCCTGGTTCACACCAAATATAATTAAAAACATTCATAAGATAGAACGGGCCCACAAAAACCTGAAAAAAAATAAAACATATTTTTATCAGCAGCAATTTATCACGTTGAGAAGTGAAGTAAAAGAACAAATAAACAATGCTTATAAAAACTTCCTTAACGAAAGTGAACGCAAAATTAACGAAGACCCAAGTGCATTTTGGAATTTTATGCAGAACAAAAGAGGTAACACGAAATTTCTCAGAGTTATGAAGGATGAAACTAAAACTTACACCAAACCGCAGGAAATTATGGATGCATTTGCAAACTTCTTTAAAAGTGTTTATATTATATTTGATGTATCTTCATTTAATACCCTTGATAACTGCACAAATAATTTACCAACAATAATTATCGATCAGGTGAATGAAGTAGATATTATCGAAGCTGCGAGAAAACTGAAAAATAAACTAATTGTCGGTCCTGATCAAATCCGAGTTTCGTAGTTAAAGATTGTATTTACCCTTTACTGAGTCCCCTACTTCACATATACAATCTTTGTTTGAAAACTTGTGAGTTCCCTGGCCTTTGGAAAAAAGGTCGAGTATGCCCAATTTTTAAAAAGGGTGATATTACATCAATAAAAAACTATAGAACCATTTCAATACTGAGCAGTTTCTCCAAATTATTCGAATTACTATTATACTCTAATATTTACAGTCCAATACGAAATATCATATCAGATGATCAGCATGGGTTTGTAGAAAACAAGTCGTGAATAACCAATCTTGCATGTCTTTCACAATGTGTCTCTGAAGCCTTGGATAGGAAACTGCAAGTTGACGTCATTTATACAGGCATGCAAAAAGCTTTTGATCAAATAGATTTCTTCATTCTTCTCAAGCGTCTATCAGAATTTGGTTTTTCAGCAAAATTGGTGAGACTCATGTCAAACTATCTACTCGATAGAAAATAGTATGTAGAGTATGAAGGCTTTAAATCTGTTTTATATACTCCCAGTTCCGGAGTGCCCCAAGGCTCGAATTTAGGACCTCTTTTGTTCTTGATTTTCATTAATGTTTTAACTAAAATAATAAACAATTCAAAACTGCTCTACGCTGATGACTTTAAAATATTCAAGGTGATAGAAAATTATGGAAACTGCTTAGACTTACAGTATGAATTAGATCTGATATATGATTGGTGTTCCAATAATCGTTTGAATCTTAACATTGCTAAATGTCATATATTGTCTTTTTCCAGAAAGGAAAGTGTATTACAAATCACTTACGAAATTTATAACAATACCATATGTCGTGTTAATGAAATGAAAGACCTTCGTATTAATTTTGATCAGAAATTCACTTTTGTTTCACATATGGACCAAGCTGTTTCGTCCGCTAGTCGAATGTTGGGCTTCATAATGAGGAACACCAGAGAATTTAGAGATACAAAGGTGATAATCACTTATAATAATGCTTATGTGAGGTCCAAACTAGAATATGGGGCGATGATCTGGTATCCCATTTATAATTCTCACATACAGCAAATTAAAGCTGTCCAAAGAAAATTCTTGAAATTCTTGTCTTTTCGCACTGCAAGTATTTACCCCCAAAGGAGAATTGACTATTTCAACCGGCGACGAGTCTAAATCTTGTCTACGGTTGATCTGAATGACAAATGCTGCACGCCAGGGGCAATGGAATAACCCAGTCTTGAAAATTTGTATAGGCTCAAAATTCCAACGGATTCGAAATTTGGACATCAATTTTACTACCAATATAGATTTTTGCTGAAAAATGTTCTCACTTCTCATGGCACCACCCCCGTTTATCTTCTGTAATTATTGGAGTAGAACTTTGTGAATTTCAGGATCGGTAGATATACCAGCGACAAGTCAAAGACCTCTCGTTCACTAGGAGCGGAAAACTACGATGAGTTGTGAAATCAATTCGTCAGAATTCGCACGATAACGCACGAACGATCCAAACACATGGATCGGTAGAAGACGGCGTCCACTTGGCCCGTATAGTTCGTTAGTTTTCGTCCAACTAGGTGCGAATTGAGAACCGATCCAATTCTGCTGGGATTTGATTGCGATTTAGTGTGAAAATAGTTAGAATAATGTATTGAAATGTGTCCTTTCTCATTCGAAAATTAGAAAAGTGGTGGTCATCGTCTATTTGAAAATCATGCCACAAAGGAGAAAATTCACCAGTTCCCGCCTTCGTCAATATCGCCTGTGCCTGATACGACGATGAATCAAAGGTGATAATTCGAAAGCAAAAAATTCTTCATCAGAATAAATAAGAAATTCGTTCCAAAGAACTACGAATCCAGACGAATACTGAGACAATGGGCGATGTGCATAGCACGATTTCGCACGAATTCGTTGCTTCGCAGTTCGCAGCTTTCCGCTCCTAGTGGACGAGAGATGAGACGTCTAAATCTTGTCTGGGGTTGGTCTGAGTAGGGCCGTCGCCATGGGGGGAGGGAATGGGGTGGAACCTCCCCCTGCTTTTGGGCCGTGAAGTTAAAAAAATATAATAGTAAAAAAATTAATGAAAATTGAAAAAATAAAAATGAGAGAAAATAAAGGGAGAGGTAATAACAAAAAGGAAAGAACCGGGAGAAGGTTGGGATTATGAGTTGTTTGAAAACTTTAAAAAAGTTTAATTTCTCCCAAGTAAGAGAACAGTCCTGAACAGTCCATAAATTTTGAAGTGACAATTTTACAAAATTCACAACTTTTCGCTGTTTTTCGACTTGGAAAAGTTGGGAAATTTCGAGCCGTGAAGATAGAAAAAAATAGTAGAAAACAATGACCACAATATTATTTAAGTGTTTTCCTTCATTTGTATTGAATATTTCTATACATGGTGGATATGGTGGAAGACCAAGGACCTTGGTCCAAAGTAGAATAATTCCCATTATTATTTTTATAATTACCAAAATTTATTTTTGTTTGTGCATACCCTAAGGGGCATAAGTATTCAGCCAATATTTGGATAGCTAAGTAAGAAAATGAATATATTATAGTAGTAACTAATTCGAAAGTTGGGAAATTTTGCTGGTGGCATTGGGAAAATTTCTTTTCGCTACTGCCCTGGGTCTGAGTGACATACACTGCTCGCCTACGGCAATAAAATCAACCAGTATTGCGAAAAATAGTATTAAGTGACAATATAGTTTCAAAATTATAACAATTCGGAAGCAGGACATCAATTTTACTACCAATAGGTAGGCACATATTTTCGCAGAAAAATGTTCAGTTCTAAAAAAAGAATTTATCTCTCTTGCCATGGAAACACCCTTGTAACTTCTACAATTATTGAAGTAGATTTCTTTTCGCTTTTGACATCCTCAAAACATTAATCCAACCAAGGAAATCAGAATTTTGCACGAAAAATCGATTGTTTGTGAGTAATTTGGCACTTCTAGTTCTATATAAACAATTGATTTTTTATTTTGGTGTCAGGAAAGTTATTCATCTCTCGAAGTCAGTAAGAGAGGAGAAGTTTTTTTGCAAGTTGAATGGAAACATGATATGAGCGAGGTTTTAGGATGGTTAATGTTAATTCAGATTCTCATATTTCCATTATTTTCAAAATGACAAGTGTTTTTGTAGAAAAAAGTCTACTTGTTCTAGTAGTTCTAAGTAGGTTCTACTTTCAAAAGTTTCAAAGTCTATTATTGTTCATTGATATCTTGTTTTACTTAACCCATACTCAACAATTTTACGTCGCCATTAGAATGGAAAAAAATGTTTATCTTGTTATTTTGGATTTCGAAATGAATAACATATAGGTGCAATGATTATTAAAGATAGATTTTACTACTTTTAAGCGCTTATGCAATATTTACTCTCTAGTATTCAAGCGACTAATTTTTATATTTTTTTGGTGAGATTTCGGAGTTCTTGTTATTGAGAGCCCACGAAATGGCGTTCAATAAGCTAGACATATCGTTATTCAACAAAGAACAAAATGTGGACTTCAGATCCGGAATGTTAGAGAAGGAGGAACAACATCGAGCGTGCAAAGAAAAAGAAGTCGAAGAGGAAACAGACTACTTTGCTCCGTACCTGGCAAAACTCGGTTATCCCGAAAAGTTGACATACGACCAAGCTTTAGATTGCAAGTATGCTTGCCTGAATGATTTCAAGAATATGTTGGTGGAAAGAGCAAATTATATTCAGAAAACGTTTGAAAAGGTGAGAAAAATAAGTTGAGCATATTTACAGTATTCTATATCTTTAAAGTCTAATGATATATGTTCCGTTAAAAATTTTGATATTTTTTTACGTTCATTTCATATCAATATTTTTTCACTATTACTATAATTCTTGTGCTACTAGTCGACTGAAAAGCTTCAGAATATGAAAAACTATTACACCATGTATCATGAAAATCTAACTCCGGAAGAGGAAGCACAGTATTTCGAAGAAGTAAACAATATGATCACTTACCTGAGGACTCTAGAGATACGATTAACCAGACACAAGGACTTGTCTCCTTTAAGGTAAACAAGAAAAAAGTACCTTTTATCCACTTATTGTTTTGCAACGAATATTGTTTTCAAGATAAGCTGAGAATGTGATTTCGTTTGATTATTGGGAATATTATTGGTTTCTACACTAAATACCTACCACAAGGTTCAATACTCTTTCCCACCCTCTTTCAATAGAGAAAATGGAGTAGACTGTTGCTCCCTCCAGAAAGTGACTACTTAATATTTTGTATGATTTTTGTCATTATATTGGACTAACTAATCATACCGGATATTAAGTAAAGAAATTTTTACGAAGTTCTCAGATCCATTTTCTCTCCCGTTTTTAAAAACTGAATGTAACCTCTCTAGTTAAGATATGGGTATCTTGATAACAAAATACATTATGATTTGAATGCCGACATTTGGAGGAACGATGACTTCTACAAAAAAGGCATCAATTTTTTTTAGGAAATGTTATAATGAACAAAAATTAACACATTTTATCGTATTATTAACAATTCCTGAGATATTGAAAAATAGATATATTTTACTGAAATTTTGTATGTAGTTTCGTTTTATTTATTTATTTATTTATGCAATAAGAAAGGATTTTTCAATATTCCAACTGGGACGCCCCTTACTGGGAATAAAAGAGGTGCGTTTACATATGAAAATTATCTTTTCGTCACTATTTCTCTGTACTGCTATTTTCGGAGGCTGAAATGTTGTAGTATTCAGGTTCGTTTTATATTGTAGATGTGCAATAAGGATTTTTCAATATTCCAACTGGGACGCCAGCCACGCGGAAAAGAGGCGCGTCCATTAAACAAAATAATCTTTTCATCACTGCCCATAGATTTTCGGTGGGTGAAATTATATGTAGTATTAGCATTGCACCCGTGCGGAGCCGAAAAAATGTTCGTTCTTGTAATTCAATGATTGTATGAAAGTCGTTGTTTCGAGAAGGTTTTTTCTTCCAGTTTGTGTCTGAAAGTTACTTTTTACGTCTTTATATAGTTTATTTTGATAATAATTGTTTTCTTCCCTTCTTTAGAAGATTCCCACTTTTTTTGTATAAAGATGGAGAAGTAAAAAGCCTGAACATTTCTTTTCACAAAATATACACTTTTCAATTTTAACAATTATTCATTTTCTATAGCACATCACTGGTGCACAACATAGCGTTCATTTACCATTTGAAACATATTGAAATGAATAACCATTCCATGCTTTTGAATTTTTTGATTTCAGGTATGAAGCTTTATTAACGTATCTGAATGATCACCCGATGCTGACAAACTTATATTGAATGTCTTTAAAAATTGTGATGACGAAATAAATACACTATTTCAAGAACTGTTTTTTATTAATACAACATTTACAAAACAAATTAAAATATACATATATAAAATAATAACAAAAAAATAAATACAAAGTAATATCAGCAGAGCCTTAGGCTTATCACATTTCAGGTCCATAATATCACTTAAATTAATTTGCATTCAGTCAAATCCTTATGAAGCCTGAAATGTTCACCATGAAAAACTGACAATAGCAATATCATCAAATATAGCTACGATTACATTGTTTTTATATATCCATACCATGAAACAAACTAGAGATTTTTTAGTTTTCTAACCTTCCACAACATGAAAATTGAATAAATTACGAGTATTGTGTAAGTGTAATGTAAATTCACAAAAAAATTTAACACGCCGGTAACTTGTAGTTATACATTTTATTGACATAAAATTCAGGAAAAAAGACGTATTTTTTTACTCAGCCTTTCTTTTGGAAGAGTTGACATTGTCTAAATCTTTAAAAGAATACAATACAGAGGTGACACAAAGTAAACTAATTGTTAGTTGGAACAGAATAAGTAAACACAAATTACATAAGAATGAGACAAGAACAAGGAAGCAAGGGAAGATATCAGTACGGAAAAATTCGGGAAGTATGCTTTCTATGCATAATAACATCTCCTCAATGAAACAATCTCAATTTATTTTTTGGGAAAATGTATTTCTGAGTCCTGCATAGGTTGGGAAAAATATTGAACAGTCTGCAGCCATTATAATATGAACCTCTTTGTAGAAGTGTAACTATGAAACTGAAACATTATATAAAATATATTAGTGACTAAAAAGGTTTGCATTAAAATGAAAAATGTGCTTAGTGAGGTTGGGCTACATTAAGATAGTAGATATTTTTTGGGATTACGTTTAATGTATTTTAAATATTTGAGAGGTTCTGGTAAATGATTGTAACGAGTTACTCAAGCTTGATAAATTGATCTTCTTCCAATATCTGTTTCAATATTTTTAGAAGAAATATCGTTCAATTGTCTCATTGAGTGATTGATATTTTATATGTAGTGGACTAATCATGAAATCCTTTTAGTTTTTATAGATTTTTTGTTGGTTCATTATATTATTAGCCTCCTACTAGCTCTAAACTATCATCTTTGTGTCTCCATTTTGTCAAATCATGTTATTTTACCCGTCTTGATGGTGCATCAATATAACTTGCCATATAAACAAAGTAAACTACCGTAACATCATTTCGTTTTTTGTGGATGTTAGACAAAATGTCAGTGAATTAGTTGTTCTAAAAGTTATCCTGACATCATGCTTGTACCAAACTGGCTGGAGCTATGCCATGATGCAAAACAGAACTGCAACTACGACTCTTCAAGGCGAGGCCATTAGGTTTAGGGTCACCAGAGGCTGCCCACAAGGTGGGGTACTATCTTCCTTCTGTGGTCGCTCCTGATGGATAGTATGCTTGATGCACTCAACAGAGGAAAAGTAGATCTGCAAGCTTATGCAGATGACCTTGTCATCTTGGCAAGGTCCACATCGGGAATGTTAACTTGTAATATCCTCCAAAACACGATGGACGTTGTTCATAGGGAGGGAGCAGATGTCTGTCAACCCCAGCAAAACTGTGATAATGCCCTTCACCAGGACGAGAAAATTGGACGATCTAACGCCACTTTCCCACAAAGGTGGGTCATTCCATTTGGAACGGAGGTGAAATATCTTGGCATTGTCCTTGATAACAAACTCACCCGGAATGCTCACTTGGAAAAAGTTTCACACAAAGCCAGACTGTCCCTATGAACATGTCGAAGGATTTGTGGTAAAACTTCGGGTATAGGTCCCAAACAAATCCATTGGATTTATGTGATAATTGTCAGACCAATGATCACTTATGGTGCAATTGCCTAGTGGCCAAAGGCTTTACAGAAAACGGTCCAGGTGAAGCTCTCTGGGTTACAGAGACAGGCTTGTCTGGCCATCAGTGGTGCCATCAGTACCACACCGTCAGCGGTCATGGAGGTCCTTCATGATCTACTTCCTCTCTACATTTTTCTGGAGAGAGAGGCTAGATGGACTGCATATAGACTTATGCACATTGCCAATTGCACAAATCAATTTAATGCAGAGTGCAACAGACTGTTGGTTGACACTGCTCTAACTGTCAACTACGAACTGCCTTATAAAGTACTGTTCCCCAGTAGAGAGGACTGGATCCTCCGGAAGAAGAAAATATTAGATAGTTGTTGGTTCACAGATGGATCAAAAACACCTTCCGGTTCCGGAAGCGATGCTCTCATATCTGTAACCAATCCAAATAGTACTCGGCGTTTTTCTCTGCAGAATAGGAAACAAACAGAAGTGGCTTGAGGCTAGATCTGGTGAGTGGGGAGGAAGATCAAGCAGTTCAAACCATAATTCGTGAATTTTTGTCATGGCAACCGCTGAGGGTGCGTTGTCTTGGTTAACCAGGGTTTTCTTTTTCTGCAAATGTCGCCGTTTTTTAGCCAGTTCTGCCTTCAGTTTGTCAAGTGATGATGCGTAGTAAGCTCCGGTAATGGTATTTCCTTTTTGAAGATAATCAGTTAAAATAACTCCAAGACTAGCCCAAAAAACAGTCGCCATCACTTTTCCAGCCGAAAAAACGGTTTATGATTTTTTAGTCGGTTCCCCCCTTTGCAGTCCGCTGTTTGGACTGTATTTTTGGTTCGGGCCGTTCGGGCGTATAATAGAATATCCAATATTCAACGAAAGTCATTTTTGTGGAGGAAAAAATCAGTTTTTATAATTAATCGGCGCTAAAACTTGGATTTATTGCGCCTAAACTCGACAACAGAGTGCTGGAAATGTTCATTCGAACACGTTTTTGGTCTAACGTGAACAAACGCGGCACCCAACGCGCGGACAGCTTTCTCATGCCTTAATGTTAATTCAATATGTGATAAACACGTTCGTTTGACATGTTCATAACCTCTGCTATCTTTCTCACTTTAATTCGGCTGTTTTTGAACGTCAAGAACATTCATCGTCCCCCAAGCTCTTACGGACACATTTGAATTCAGCTGCCCAAAATTTCACTGTGATAAATGATGGTGCAGAGTCCCCATACACAGAATCCAACTCATCTTTGATTTGAGTAGACGTATTGCCTTTCTAAAACAAATATTTATTGACAGCTAAAACTTTGGCAAGTAATTGTCGAGAGATAAACAACGAAATTCACTTGCTTTTATTTGCGAGTGCTGCCATCTTCATATTGAGGTCTGAAACTTTTCAGATCACCCTCATAAGGTGGAAACTAATCAGAATCCAGAAAACTTAAAGAATATTATTTTGTCAGGAACAAGTGTATTTCATCAATTCTGTGAAAATAGATCACACCTGGACCAAGATTGAAATAAACGTGGAAGTCAACTTTTTTCAGGAGAAAACTAAGCATGTAGTTTTTCATAATTTCATCTTATTTGACATGAAAATTCATAATTATGTTAAATTATCGTCTGATTAGAATTTAAGTTTACATTATGCAGTTATTTTCCAGGGTTAACTCTTCTGTTTGCCCATTATTACTTGTTTATTTTTCGGATTGTGGAAGGTGAAAATCCTCAAAATTTCGAAACACATTGACCCCACAAGAAAATGTATTTTAAGGAATACTAGAGGAATTAGGCCCAATATTCAACATTCTCAATTGATAATTTTCAGGTGAATTCACAGTTTAATTTTATGAAATACAGCAGTAGATCTAAAAGAGATATGGGGTCTTACTGTTAATGTCAAGCAAAGAAAAAGTTTTGAGTCATGCAAGATCTGAGCAGGATATGACTGAATGCAATTATTATCTTTGGTTAAAACAACTTAATAACCTAAACGCATGTATGCCTGGTAATTAAGGAATGTTAAGTGAACAACAAAATTTTAGTAAGTGAAAGACCAAGATCCCATCTGGCCTATACAGTGACCATCTTCATCAAAGGTAGCCAAAGTGAGTCTGTTCAACTTGTTGCTGAGAGATGTCAGCATCGTCGGATGTGGCGTACCCATTATAACGGACGAATGAGTTTCTGAAAATAGGTTTTGGTACTAGATAAAGAAATAGCTGTGATATTTCAAATGCAAAAATGTAAGTGCATCAAATACTCAACATTTCAGCAGTTCGATTGAAAGGAAAAATAGACAGCAGTTCAATTGAAAGGTGATTATTCTAAGAATTATCGAAAAATCTGACAAAACATTTTAGAATAGATTGATTTTCTTTTTCTGTATATTATTGACAATTTATTAATTGTTCCGCTCACTTAAATGTTGCTCACAACTTTAGTCACAAATATTTCTTAGGTATTTGCCTATCTTTGATTTATAAGTAAATATAGCTATAGTTAATCAAATTATTAACCAAATCAACTGAACAGTAATTTTATACTTTTTTATACAAATATTTGACGTGAATCTTCAAATTAGTATCACTTTTCATTTATGACCAATTTGAAATGAATCTAAATGTTAAGTGAAGATTAGCAAAATACATTAGTGAAAACTGAACCCAAATCTGTTTTTTGAGATTAGTGCGCCCAAATGCCTAGACAAACATCTAAAAATCATTGTTTTGGGTTCTGTTGTGTTTATAAAGACTTCCAATAATATTTTTTTCAAATATCTTTCATTTATACTAGTTTGTTTCCAAAGTTTTGTTCGTTTTAATGTCATGTGTTTTTGTAGCTTCATATTTCAATAAATATTTATTCTATTGTGTCGTGGTATATCCTGATCAATACAAAATTTTGTACTCTATATTTGCTACTGTTCTTTTTTCCTCCAAATTTCATTGAACACACTGTTCGATGTTGGTTTGCGAAATTTCGTTCCGATGATTTTAGCCTCAGAAATGGTCAGCTCCCATGTGGATCTTGATGATTCAAAACGTATTGGAAATGTCAATGGGCTCAAAAATAAGTGCCCCTCGATTTTAAACCATCGACAGAAATTGTCACGTTTCGAGGTATGTTCTTCTTTGCTTTTGCGCAACCAAAACTTTCTTTTTTAGATCGGATGATTACGTGTGATAAAAAGTGGATCCTCTACAACAGAAGACGTTCGGGACAGTAGTTGGACATCGATGAGCCACCCAGACACTTCCCAAAGGCAAAAACCCACCAAAAAAGACCACGGTTACTAAATGGTGTGATTCACTATTATTTTCTGCAACCTGGCCAAACCATCACAGCAGGGTCCTATTTGGGGAAATCGAGGAAATATACCAAAAATTGCGGCAACAGCAGCCTGCATTGGTCAACAGAAGAAGTCCGATCCTGCTCCATGACAACGCCCGTCCGTACGTTTCACAAATCACAGTCCGAAAATTAAACGAATTGACCGTCGAAGTTCTGTCTTACCAGATCTCTCGCCAACTGACTACCATATTTTCAAGCACCCCGATAACTATCTCACCGGTAGAACCTATTATCTTATATATTAATACTTTTTGAAGCAATGTCAAGTCAGAATCTCGAACATAAACTAGAACTCATATTGTTTTAATGTTCAGTTTTGGGATTTAGTGTATTGCCTTGATTTTTGCCTCTGTGAAAGTAAATGATGATGTTGAAATTAGATCAACTGTTGGATCAAAGACAAGGTTAATATTTTTTAGCAACATTTCGATTGAATGGAAAAGTAAATTGACACAAGTGCAGATTTGTCTCATGTAAAAGTGATATTCACTAAAAATCAGACTGATGAATACTTTACATAGAAAATAGGGTTATTGTATTGATTTTTTCGGAGTCCAGGACATCAACTACTATGGTCAATAGCCAGAATTAATCCACTTTCGGCTAGATAAATTCCCACGATAATGATACCTGGTCTAAAGTGGACTCGAACCAACGTTTTTTGGATCATGAGTCGGCACATTACCACCGGGCCAATCTCTGCTTTGTATTTATAATTATCATTATTTTTCAATAACTCATTTCCAATACAAAATACAATTTTTTTCCACGTGGATTATTTTCGCTGCTAAGTTGTACAAATTATATTTCTTGATTCCAATAAGCAGTAAAATCAACTCATTAGAAATGATGAAAAAATTATCGTACTAACCAGTTTCATTATTGACGTTATTATCCACTGGTTTGTCCGTTTCATCCGCAGATTTCAACTGTCCGACGAACACTGTAATCAGTTTGTCCATCAAGCTGGCCTGCCTCGAAAAAACCTGTAAAATCTTCGAAACTCTTGCTCCGTTTTCGACAACCATAAATTGCAAAAAGAGACACGGCAAACAGTTAGGGTCCTCTTCCATAGAGGGCCTGGCATACTCCCAACTGAATTCTTCAAACTTCAGACCTAATAAGATCACCTATAAATGACATCGACTATAAGTAAAAATGGATCAGTATATCATCTTCTTACACACTGTAAATCGTCTATAATGTAGATGCCTCTAGAGTTTATTGCTACTAATACTGGAATGTCTTGGTGGATTATCAGTGACGTCAGCCCTCTGACTGGCTGTTCCACTTGCCCCTCGAAAAATGCAGAGCTGAAAATCACAATCACAGCTCAGGAATAAACGGTATGTGGATAAAAATGATATAATGTGAATATAATAGTTTTATTAAAACAACGTTAAAAATAAAAACAACAATAAAAATTAATTGGCGCTCCGGAGCGACTTCATTGATTCCAGTGGCGCATTTGCTTTTTCAGCTGCAGGAAAAGCCGGAAAAACCTGCAGCACCACATCATGTGAATTAAATAATATTTTGTGGTGTTCAATTTCTATTAGGCTCTTTCAAAAGTTTTGCTCGTTTTTATGAGTCTACTTCAAACTGTAATATCTTAGTGAATACTTATTCAATTTAATCGAAATAGGGGTCCTTTGGATCAGTACACAATCCGGATTCGATGAAGTCGACGAAGGCCGTGTTGCCTGGTCCTGAATCGCGAAAGTTCTACCAGTGAAAAAGTTATCAAAGTGCGAGAGTCTGAGGAGTATGGTAATTTGTGAAACATGCAGTTATCAAAGTGCGAGAGTCTGGGCAGTATGGTGATTTGTAAAACGTGCAGACGGGCGTTGTCATGAAGCAGAATCGAATATCTTCTGTTGACCAGTGCCGGCTGCGGCTGGCGCCATTTTCGGTACATTTTGTCGATTTCCTCACAATAGGACTCTGCTGTGACGGTTTAGCACGGTTGCAAAAAGTTATTGTGGAACACAGCAGCCGCTGACCACCATACACTAACCATGTTTTTAAGTGAGCTTTTGCATTTGGATAGTGCATGGGTGGCTCATCAGTATCCAACCACTATCCTGAACGTCTCCTGTTGTAGTAGAGGATCCACTCTTCATCATACGTCATCCAATCCAGAAAAGGATTGTGTTGGTTGCGCAAAAGCAAAAAATATAAATACATAATATGCCCGATAAAACACTATCACTCACTACATAGTACGTACCACACTGTATCCTGCATCAACAAACCTCAAACGCACCGCTCATGAACGAATAAACGAAGAAACCATCAACCCGAAATGATGAATGCCATACGTTGCAAGGGAGCCAAGCCTCCGACCGCTTTAAAAAACACAAGCTCCGCGAGACCGATCCAGCCAGCGACACACGTCCCGATTTGTAATTTTAGTTGCAGAAATTATAGCGTTAGGCTAATTGCACACACACCGACTTTGACATATCTAAAAACGATTGAAAGTTGTGATGTACAGGTAATATCGATAGTTTCATCAATTTCCCATGCAAAAAAAGAAACACTTTCAATCTCCTTGCTTATATTTTCCTTAATAATATATGCCATTTTGGATGGTTTTTGAGGTGCCCGAAAAAACGCTACCATTTAAAAAAGTGCCAAATTGTGAATCATATTTGCCCCATGACATTAAAAGTTTCTTGTAATTGCCGCGATTAATCGAATCTTCGGTTTCATCGTGTCCGCGAAAAGCTAATTCTTGGGAACCCAAATAAATCGTAGTATCGATAAGATTTTTAAATTCGACCGATTTTCCCTAACCTGACGCTTTTCCTAAGAACTTCATAAAAACTCCGTTTGAATAATCAATATTTGCATTAATTTTTGGCGATTTATTAAAACACCGTCAATAACCATTTATCAATTACTCATAAAAGTCTTCAAACTGGTATAAGCTTGAAAATTTTTTGCCAAAAAAATTATCCTATCAAATTTGTATATTTCTAGTCATGTGTGTCGAAATAACCAATGAAACCATCATTACACTGATAAAATATAAATACATAATATGCCCGATAAAACACTATCACTCACTACATAGTACGTACCACACTGTATCCTGCATCAACAAACCTCAAACGCACCGCCCATGAACGAATATTAAGTCCTAAACTAAAGTTCACTCATGCTTCTTAAGGTAGGGGTAAAATAAAAAAAAGGGTAGCTACTATGAAACTGCCAATATGTCAACTTTTCATTCTCTAACAACCACAATATTACCGAAACAACATCGACAAACTTACCCATAAAATGGCAATGACCAGCAAAACTCCAGATATTTCTTCATCAACTTCCTATTGGTGGCAGAAGTGGGAATTCTCTTGAATTGTTCCAGGAGTCTTACCTCCGCTGAATTCTTTGAGCTGATCGGCAACCAAGTCCATGTCGAGCTCTTTCTCACGTGAAGCGGAAGATATTTCGATTGCTCCTCTCTAAAATAATGTGTCGAATGAACGAGAGGGTTGTACGGCCCCAATTCTATTCTAGCCTGTATCCCACCCAGCATTATATAATGGATCACTTCGCAAGGGTATTTGCAGTCAAGTATATTGTTGCGGGCTTCCTCGTAGAGCAATTCGAGAATCTTTTGATCTCTAGAAAAACCAGATGTATAGATTGGACATTGGGAAAAGTTCAGTTTGTGGATTTTTCATTTACTCACTTGATTTTCTCCTCCAAGTGCTGCGGAAAAAATACATTTCTTTGAAATATAACTTTGGGTTCATCTCGCTGTTGCCTGTTCAAAGACACGTGGCTATATTGCTCCACCAGAGACCGCCACATCTTTCTAAGTTCATAAGGCTTATGAGAAGGTTTCAGTTGCAGTTCTACAACATCATGTGATGGTAGGATTGTATCTTGATTAAAAATTTATATAGCAACAAAAATTCAAACCTAAATAGAAAATAATATGATGTAAAGAATAGTATCAGCTATCTATCTCATTTCAATAATAATGAGCTTAATCTAATACTGGTGCAGGTGTTTTCAGTCGCAGACTGTAATCAATATTGAAAATTTTCCAAATAAACTCTTATTGGCTATATTCGTGCAAGTGATGTATTGTGCTATGTAAATACTAATTGTTTTTGTTATTTTTTTTTGTTCTTTGTACATATGTTCAATAACTACCTGAAATTTTATTCAACAACTACCTGCCAATGTATATCATTTTATAGTGTATAGTTTTTGAGAACATTACTCGAATAATTATAACTTGACAAGTAGCGACAGCTACTATGTGTGAATTTATTTCTCGATTTATTTTAACCATGCTTTGTTAATAAGATGTTAATCTTCAGACAATAAAACATATTTTGACTTTGACTTTGAGACCCAGGACAGAGATATCAACTTGCCTAGGAACCTACGCGACTGTATTTCAAGCGGAAATTTACTCAATAAATTGATGGATGTAGCCGTTACTACGTGGTAGGAAATCGTAATGAAGAGAAGAGAAATGAAACTTTCCATGTTTTTTAACACTTTTATTTGTAACTAACGTTACTGCAGTTTCGTCCTATAAGGACATTTTCTGACTTATACAATAAAATAACAATGGTTCATTACATTAGCTCTTATATACCACCCCTGAAGGTACTAATGGAGGTACTTGACTTCATTCAGTACCTGAAATTACAGTTTACAATGCGGATGTGCCAATTTGAAAACCGGTGAGTAAACTAAATCGATTTGATCATTTAACAAGTTACACCCGCAATGTTCATGCTTGTGAATTTCCAAGGATTCTAAATAATTGAGTTTGTAACCCTTCCTTGCATAGTGCAAAATTTCCGTGTCGTTTAGATTCGGAAACTTGTGGTTGCATGCCAAGAAATAGTTTGAAAACGTCGAATCATTTTTTCATAGTCTGAAGGACCTTTCATGTTCAGCATACCGTTTTTGGAAATTTCGACTACATTGTCTCATTACACTATTACACTCCGGACACTTAAGCTTATAAACTCCAGATTTCTCCAACTTGTCCACCTTATCTTTTGCATTGAAAAGGAAATCAGATAACTTGGCATGTGGTCTGAATGCCAGTGCCACATTGTTTTTTTCTGTAGAAACGCGCAATTATCTCTGATTTTTTTCCAAAATATGTTAGAGTTACCCATTTCTTGATTTCTGGTTGTTTGACCTGAGGGTATATTAATCTGTAAGTGAATTTACGGCTTTGTTTTCTGACTAACTTCTGGATAGTATCTGCGTTGAAACCATTATTATTACATATCTGTGTAATGATATCAATTTCCCCAGCTAGATTGTTAACAGACAAAGGCAGTGAGAATGCTCTGTGCAACATTGAATTGTAGGCTGCTAATTAATGACTGTCTGGATGGAAATAATCGCTTGGGATGGTAATGTCTGTATAGCTAGGTTTTCTGAAAACATTGAACTCAAATTTATTCTGATTGTGCGTAATGGTCAAGGTCAAAGAAATTTATCTGTTTCTCTATCTCTGTCTCGAGTGTGACCTGAATGTTGCTATTGAGATTATTCATGAATTCATAAATTGGGAAAGAAAGTTTTTGGCTTTCTACTACTCCATCTTGATACATCATAAATTGGTTCAGCTGTCGTGTAGTACCTCCGAAACAGGCAAGAATATCGTCTACGTATCTGTACGAATGTATAGTGGTCTCCAAGCTGTTTATAAATATGTCTGCTAAGGGGTGAACCCATTGGTAAACCTGAATCCTATTTATAAAATTTTTTGTCTAACTGTAGGTAGCTCTGATTTAGACACACATCGAAAGCTGTTGAAACTTCAAAGGAAGTGATATGGTCTACTTTGGCTTGATCTAATATGTCTAAAATGAGGGGCTTACACTCGTTGTACGGTATGTTGGAGAACATACTCTTAACATTGAAAGAAACTAAAATTGAATTATGTGGCGTGGTTTGGTTCCTTATGTATTCTACTAAAGTCAGTGAATTTTTAAATGCTGTGAGTTGGGACGAAATTGGCAATATTTTTGAACAACTTGTTAAGACGTCTTCCTAGTTCTCTTACCAAACTATTTTTATATGAAACTACCGGTCTTATGGGGTTATCTTCTTTATGTGTTTTTATCAGGCCATATAGTTTAGGGCAAGAGGGGTTCATGTTGGTGATTCTCCGTTTCTCTGATTCCGTGAAAATGATTTTAGTGTCTGAGAGGAAATTTTTTAGTTCATTTTGACTATTTTTCGTTGGGTCTTTCTTGATGACAGTAAGGTTTTCATTTAGAATGAATGATTCAATTTTCTGAACATACGTTTCTCGTTCAAGGATAACGATGGCATTCGATTTATCAGCTTTCGTGAAAACAAGATCATTTTTTCTTATTTTTTGTTGTATAGTTTTCATTACGCCTGTTTCTCTACTGTTTGATAAAGAGAATGAATGGTTCTGAATTACTTCATTGATTTTCTATGCCCCTATATCTCTATTATCTGTCTGTTTCAATGCAGTAGCTGTATCTGTTATAAACGTATCCAAACTGTTTTAATTAATTATTGTTGGTATATATTTCGGCCCTTTGGACATTGATGAAATTTCCTCTTTGTTAAACTCTACTTTGGTCAAGTTAATGATTCTTTCGCTGAACTGGATATCTGGTTCAACTGATTCGATGTGTATGATATGATGTTGTTTCTGTATTATTGAATTGTGTGCGGAGAGATTAGAAGAATCCAACCTCATACAGAAGTCGATAAAAATATTTTCAGACAGTCAAGCGGCGTTGGAATATCTTGGTAGCAAATTGCCAAAAAAGTCTCTCCTCAATAGGAATACTCAACAGATTGTCTCTGGTCTGGATTCCTGGCCATACTGGCCTGGAAGGCAATGAGGCTGCTGACTCTCTGCCAAAGGAGGGTGCTGCAAGCAGCTTTCTTGGACCAGAATCTGTCATTGGCATCACTTTAGGCTTTGCCAAACAAAGATTTAACACCTGGATGGCAAAAAGATTTATGGACTTCTGGCAGAATCTTTCAGGATTGGCTCACTCCAAGGCATTTATTCACCCTCGAATAGTTGTTGGACTATAGTACGGATGAACTACGATGTTTAACAGGCCTTCTCCAAGTCACTGTCATTTGAATCATCATATGCAGAGACTCGGACTGTCGAAAGACAGTGTGTGTCACCTCTGTTTGGAAAATGATGAAACAGTAGGGCATATACTTTGTACCTGCCCCGCTGGGAACCGAATCAGGTTCTTTGAGTTCGGCAGATCCTTACTCTCACCATCTGACCTAAATGACCACTCACCATACAAACTAATCGGCTTCGTTAAGAAGCTGGGTTTATTTGGTCGAGTGTGAATAGGTGTGAAATAAACCCTTGCGGGTTTATTGTGGCTCACACTCACTCACTTTTGACCTAACCTAATCTAATACTCGAAAAACTATATACTCAAATATTAAACATCTTCGGGGTGCCCGAAAGACCTAAATAAAAACAGCTAATAATCACATTCTGTTTCACCTTACGTTATTCACTACGAAAAAGCTACTGTGTTAGTGAAACATGTCGTGATAATTTTTAAAAATAAAGTTTGGAGATCAAATCGTAAGGTGTAGTTTATGAAAATAACAGCCAAATGCTATCACAAAATCCACTTTTTTTGTTAGGTACATTACAATGGGTCCACAACAATTATTATCTTGATAATAAATGATATAATGATATAAATGATAAAATCTTTCGACGTTTACAGGAGTTATAACTTGGATAGTACAGAATAGATAATACCCAATGGTACAATATTCGTGAAATAATACATTTCCTTTGTGTATTCCTCAAAGTTTGATAATTTGTCTACTGCTCTTTCCATATTATTTCTTCAATAATTACAAAAACTCTAAATACTGAAAATTTCACGGTGAAATTAAAGTAAATGTACTTGAAAATATAAAAAAGTACACAGTAGATTTACAACTGAACAGAAATCCATTTCAAAATAAAAACAGATATTGAACAAAAAATCTTTTGTTTTGTTCAAAATGTGCTTTCTAACAGTAACTTGTATTTTATAATTCAACCTATCAAAAAATGAGATAAGAATTGCACAGATACCTTAACTCAACTCTTTTAATATCTGTCAAAGAACTTTGAAAATAAATCAAAGCAAACAAAAAAAACTTCTAGTGTAGTTTTTTTTTCAGATATAATGAAGGCATCAAATTTTGGGCTTCGAAACATCAAAATAAGCACTTGTACAATTCTTAGGCAAAATTGATAAGCAAAATTATTGAATACGACAAGTTAAGCATTTTCCTTTGTGAAAAATACATTTAGTTCAAGCAGTAACTTATCGAGAAGAACTAGAATTTTCCCTTTCTATACCTGTATAAATGTGAGAATCCCCAAGTGAAGATCCATAAATAGGATGTGCACCTGTAGGTACTAAATTCGAAACTGTACACAAAAATTCAATGTTCTTAAATGTTTTTAGAAATCTGTCAAAATAAAGAATCACAAATGATACATGAAAGTGAATATATAAAATGAACATATAACGTAAATAATCAAAGCTAGATAATACAACAATGAACCTTATTACCAAAAATAAAACAAAATATTTAGACCTTGAATTGAAGGATATTTGTAATAGTTTTGTTAGATTAGTTTCTCAAATAATCGGCAATTTCATCTTTGTTTCTGTTTAAAAATCTGTTTAAAATATGTTTTCCGTTAATCAGCTGTCGCCCCCATACGAACGAAAACTCTCAGAAATTGAGCTTCAACCAGATAAATTCTCTCGAGTAAAGCATCTATCTGGTCAAGGCGGGAATCGAACCCACGGTCTTCCGATCGTGAGTCGGGCGCACTACCACCGCGGCCAATTCCACAACCAATATTTTAAAGAATTCCAAAATTTCACAATTTTTTAATCACTTGTCCGTATAAAAAACTGAATTAGAGTAAAATAATTGAATTGCTACAAAATTGTTGCACAAAAAGACTTAGAAAACGGAACAAATACAAAACAAATAAAAATTTATTCGAGTAACACTGTATTGTCCAACTGTCAACCAGAGATCAAACAGTAACGTTACCTGATGAAGGGAAAATTTGGCATGGATAAGAACACAAACTAGAAAAACCTTCAAATAGTCAAGGAAATTAGGTATCTAGGACCAATACAAAGGTCCCTAACTGAATACAACAAAGCTCTGAAAAAATCTAAAAGAGACTCATGAAGAAGACAATACAAGGAGGTCGAACAGACCCAAGTTTATGCTAGACTCTATAAGAGAATCTCCAAGAGACCTCAAGTCTCAATAAATAATCTTTAAACAAATACAAAAACAGGAGGAGAGGCTATAAGAGAGCTTCTCCGTGTCGGAAATTACAAACCTAACACAAATGTCCTGGACAAATTCAGAACTGGAGACTCTTAAAAGACCATCCAGGGAGGATCGGCTGGTGGCAAAGAAAGTGGTAGATTTGGAGAAAATTAAATGGGCCATAAACTCGTTTAAATCATATAAGTCGCCGGAACCATTTACGGAAGCATTTACTCAGCCATGCTGCAAAAAGACCGCAACTTCTATTTGAAATTGGCTCTGGGGTATATACCAAAAACATGGAGGCTGATTAGGGCCACTTCCATTGTAAAACCAGGGAAAATCAGACAGGACTCGCTTAAGACCAACCAGTCTCATGTCTTTTGCATTAAAGACATCAGCAAAACTACTTGACAGGCAAATTAGTGACATAGCTCTGGCTACCACACTACTGCACCGATATCATTATGCCTATATGATCATGTATGTTGACGGAAATGGCTTTATACCGGGTCACGGAAATTAAACTAATAATGTCTAATTAATTGGAGTGTAAAATCTATTTTCTAGTATTCCATTTCTCCATCAGTTCTTGAGAGTGGCGTAAGAGTGCGCTGAAGTCGATAACTGAGGGGTGTCTTTATATCTTAGTCCACCATAGACCATAGATGGGTATAGAGGTTCAGGTGCAGGGCCTGTCGTGAGGCACTAACAAGTGTTGCACAACTGGTTTGCCTTGTTAATTCCTCATCCTCAGGCTGATACAAGCAAATAGGCCTGATGTAGTCCCCCTCGACTATCAACGTAAGACCGTATTCATCATGTGGTGTATTTAGTTGTGATGCATTGTTTGGAACCTTTGGTGTAGTAATGAATATTACTGGAGTTTTTTCCCAACACCAAACCGTGGTTTCAATACCTTGAAACGTGTTTCAATTACCAAGTGATCATCTTCAAGAGGAAGATCAAACACTTTCATCTTCATCTGTTGCACATGGGCGTACAATTTAAAGCAGCGCATTCAAACAACTTCTGTTTCGAAGCATATTTTGAAGCGCAATAAATTGTATATCCATGTGCATTGAATCGAAGGCAGAAATATAAATGATATGTAATATTTTATTGTAGGTACTGACTTTTCGTGATGAAGGCAATTTATTCTTGAATAAAGTTCATACTTTTTGACCTATCATGTCTGCTATTCGACTTAAATATATGCAAAGTACATCTGGTATTGTTTCTGAACATGCCCTAACTATGGCTGCATTCAACTTTTGATTACGTAATGAACAAAACAAAAAAATAATTCAAATCATCTGAAAGAACAATTCGTTCAGGCCGGTCTCAACTCCCTACACTGTAGGTTAATGGACTGACACCTATCAGAAAACAACTACTCCCCTGGCTAATACCATGAAGGGCGTTGGNATGCTGTTGGCGATACTACTGCGGCAATAGATTTTAAATTATTGGAACACACTTGCAGACCGGTTTCAGGCTGTTTGGCCACTCGTCAGTGCAAGGTAGTGTCTATCATCAACATAAAGTAGATGACTTCCGATAATAAAAAATTGAATTCCTTCAGAGTATCATTCCTTGAACTAGGCTGAAGCGGAAAACTAACATCAAGGTTTGTCATCGCCCCATCTGCCTGTGAACGAGGTAACCAACTGCATATCCGAAATTTGACCAATCCCTCGTATAAGGAAAGAAAACTTTTCACATATAATCAGTGGACATACTTGAAGACTGGCTATGAATCAAATCATCTAAAAGAACAATTATTCGTTCAGGCCTGAACGAATTGTTTGTTCAGGCCTGAAAGAATTGTTATTATATAGATGATTTGATTTATAGCCAGTCTTCAAGTATGCAAAAAAACAATTTTTGCACACTTAATGAACCACACTCTATAAAATTGTTCTTTAGTTCAACTTGATATGTTTTAACGAAGCTTGCAGACAAACTGTATGCTATGCCAAATGTATATCAACTTTGAATCAAGTTTTAGTTCATGATATAAATTGGCTCAGTACAACAAATATCAAAATGAATTCAAGAACATCTGACTTACCCAGAAGTGGACTGACCATCCACAAAGTGAAAATCTGAGGAGCCAACTGTTTATTCAATCCCAACTCGTCACAATTAATAATTGCTTGGCAGATACGATCACAGGTTGCTGTGGGGGTGTCTTCAATCTCCATCATAATAGCAGTACGACTATGTAAATATACACAAGTGGGAATTATAGGACCTTGCAATTGCTCTGCAATACCATTAGTTATTACTCCTTTGCTCGATGTGGGCACAGTGGCAGGAGCGGACTCTAAAAAAGTATTACTACTTGATTTTGCATTCTTAACATGTTCTTCAATATACAAAATGTGGCATTTGAACAGAAACTGTTTGGGATATCAGATACCTGTTCCTAAGAAAGACACACCACAAAATTTTTAGGATCTTTGGGTGATGACTGGATTGTGGATACTAACAATCAAAACGTAAAGTACCTTGGAGATTGAAATCTTTCAATATTCGTTTCAATTTTTTGATTTCAGGGTTTTTGCTTAATATAATTGTTTTTTTCGGCTATTCATTTTAATTTTCAATTTCATTTGTTCTTTCCAAACAAATGAAATTCACCAAAAAACATTATCAACCACCTTCAAACAAATATGATGTGTCATTAAATAAATGTATCTGCTGAAATTCTGATTATTCTAGTATTCTAGTACTATGTTGCTGTATCGCTGCTATTCCAATATTTTGACAGAATCAGAATCAACGAACTTAGGCGTGCGCAGCGTTATGGAACAGTGCTTTCAAAAAATTGTTCCACAGCGCCATCTAGTGGCGAGTTAGAGAAAAATTGATAGCCTAAAAACATTCTCTATGAAAATGAACTTAAACTTTGTTACAGGCGACGAGAAAAAGCCCCAGTAATTATTGGTATTGGTGATTCTGATTGGGCAAATGACATCGATAGGAAATCAACTTCTGGTTATTTATTTAAATCATTTGGAAATCTGATTTCTTGAATAACAAAGAAACAACTGTGTTTTTCACTTTCAACTACTGAAGCTGAGTATGTTGCTGCTTGCAATGCTGCTTGTGAAGGAATTTGTTTGAAAAATCTGATAACTGACATGAGAATAGATTTTTGAAGTCCCATACAAATATTTGAGAACAATCAGGGATGTATTAAGCTTTCCAAGAATCCCGATACAAAAAGGTCCAAACATATTGATATCAAATATGATTTCATCAGAGAAAAATTAATGAGCAGAGAAATAGTACTGAGATATGTGGAATGGAACAGGCCAAAAGCAGATATACTGACAAGAGATATGTTTTTAGATACCTGAAGTCTATTAGGATTGAATGATGGACTTCTTATTCAGGCGGGGTGTTGAGTTTTTTCAAAAACTACACCTCACGATTTGATCTCCACAAACTTTATTTGAAAAATATATCATATCACGTTTCGCTAGCACAGTAGCCTTGTCAAGTGATTTGAATACTTGAAGTTGTTCTTACATTAATATTTATATACTACAGGTAACAATAATTGAGACTACCTCAAATAAGTTACCTAAACCTCTACCTAAGGTACCTAATTATGATCACCTGAAGCATATTACCTCACATCTACCTCAATAATAATTCTTTCTTGGTTTTTAAGAAAACAAGTTCAATAATGGTGATCTATTCAAATCTAGTTGGTGATTCATTAGAATACTTGAATTTTTAAGTTTTTTAAATTTCCATTGCTTCCAAATTATTCAGTTAATCAATAAATCTTTCTATGTGCAAAATTTCGAAATCTTTGTAAAAGATATGATTTTCTTCTAGTAACATTACAATAATTATTCTTCCCTATTTAGTATACCAAATATTTTGGCATATCCTAAGAAAAAATATTGATGGTCTTTCTTAGACCAATTTGAAATATGTTTCAAATACCTACTGAAAATCAAAAATTGACTTTTGTCGCATTTTTTTTACTACCGTCAACTCTTCAGAAAATATGAATAACTTCAGTGTCCAAAGCCTGGCTGTTACTTGGTCAACATATTATTATCAATACATCAAAGTAGTTATATCCATTGTTGTCAAGTGAATAATATCATCTGAATCTAAAGTATGAGTACACGGGTTGTAAAATCTGTAAATTTACCTTCTTCCAAGTAAACCAACTATCCATATAATATAATGAATGCAAAACATTCTTGTAGATGTTCTCTCAAATGTGTTTTGTAACAAACAGAAAGTTTAAATTATTCTGCCTCACGTTAATTTTTTTTTTGTAAGTTCTATTATGGTCTTCCAAATATAAATTTAATTTTTATAGACCGAACTGTCTTATGCTGAAATGACAAGTAGCTAAACTAAATCGTTGGTAGAACAGAATTTGCATAAATTGCCTACATACTCAAATATCTCTTCCTAACTAACTGGTATGTGAAGATTTACATTACTTGAATATTGAACCATTTTTCACGGTATATTTGTTAATGTAAGAAAGAAGAGTAAATTAGTTTTGAAAACCTTACTGCTGTCAAGTTTTGAGCCAAAGGGTATTGCTGTTTTTTTTGAATGACTTCCTTAATAGGATAAATCTCCTTGTCTCAGAATTTTGGCACTTCTTTGGAAGGTAATATGCAGATTTCAGTCAACAGAGAAATTCAAATCTCACCGTTTGGCTGTTTACTTTCTATGGTAGGAATTTTATCATCTGTAGTGGAATGATCTTTTTCGTTGTCCCATTCTGGCTGTTTATTTGTATACTTCACCTGGTCTCCAAATCCACCCTCATTACCTGGTGGATTGGAGTAACTGGCATTCAGCTGAGGTAGTCGTTGGGATACAGAATACAAAGTGCCTTGCCCGGAAATGTCTTCTGTTTGGGAATAATCATCATGGGTACGACTGTAAAAAATTATTAACTCAATAAAAATAGTAGATGAAAATGAAATGAAATTAAAAAAATATATTTAATTTGCCCAAAGGATTCACTCCTCTCACAGGATAATACAAAAATAAAATAACAGAAACAAGTTATTTCAATAAATTGGTAATGATATACAAAAAATCATTGAAAAAAATCAAAACGTAGATATTTGAACTAGTAACTGGTGATCTCAGAGTTTGATAATGTAAATTATCAGCAGAATCAGAGCAAACACATAGAAATTACTACACATTATCTTTCTTCATTTTAGCTAGCATTTTAGCAATCATTAGCTAACAATCTTGAAATATATAAACTTCAAGAAATGTCGCTGGATATTTGACACTAACATACCTACTATATTATAAAAATATCTAAAAAATATACAATGAAAAGTAGAATTAGAACCTCAGGCATTATGGAAAAAAATATAGAGTTTTTAATGCTACAACCACATTCTCTAATGCAGATTACAAACACTGAAATTTTAAAACTTGAAGACATTGTTATGTATATATTTGACAAAAGTCAGATTATTGTTGAACAAAACCCCTAAATCTTTTGTCACTTCACATACTGATATCAAACAAATAGAGAACTGCATGATCACGAAATTAATATTACAACTGTAATTACACGCACTTTGCATTTTGATACTTCATTCCTAAGTTTTTTTTCATTAGAATACCAAGTTCCAACAATATTCAGTTCAGATTATAAAAAATCACAATCTTTCAATGTTGTGATAGATGAAAAAAGTTTCAAGTCGTCTGCAAAGGACAACATACCAAAGTATTTGTCAGGTCATTAAAGAATACTGCGGAAATCCTGGCATTAAAAAATATGTAAAAAACATAATTAACTCTGTGTTAAAACACAGAGTATAAAGAACAATTGGTAACTGTGTAACTGAACCGATTTGGGTTAATATATCCAATAGAACTGAATGTTCAACTAAGTCGAACGCTTTTGGAAAGTGCTTGCATAAAACACCAACTTGGCATTTATTATCAACACTTAGAAATTATTTGTTCAATGGCAAGTTATTTAGATGCAGTTACCTTGTACTCATAAAACCATATTGATGAAAGGAAATAAAAAGTCTCACTTGCGGGGTCCTATCTGTCCATAAACTGACATTTCAAATACCTAAGCAAAATTACATAGAATTGAAATATGGGTCAATTATGTATAATAATAATGAGATAAAGGTTGGGAAAATATTTTTGATTTTCTAGTTTGCTAATAATATACAAAATTGCCAAAGAAAGGAACATCATCTACCAAATGTTTGTTTCAAATGCAAACCAGATTTGGACTTGATTAACTAAGGTGAAAAGTAGCTTTCAAAACAACTACAAAATTTAAATAAACCAGTTATGTCAAGAATTGGAATCACTACTCATTGGATCTTTTTTTTTCCATACTACAGTTGATCAGAACTATGATGCCAAAGAGGTTTTTCAAAATAGCAATAAAGTAAATATATGAGTAATAATCTTACCTGTAAGGTTCAACCAAGTAATCGGCATTTTGCCCGTTGTAAACTCTATTACGATTGAACTCCACTGGTATGACTGTAACGTTATAGTTACTCGTTTGTATCACAATTTGTTGGGTATCATTTTTCTCGGTTTTTGCTGCCTCCATTCCACACACAATTTTTTAATTATTGATATTTACTGGGAGGATATATGCTCATGTTATTGATTGGGTATGGGTATGAACAGGTTAAAATTCTAATACCTATCCACCCACAATAACACCCTACATGGCTGACTGAATTCCAATGAATTATTTATCAATTATGTATAATTAATTGAATATTATCCTTGTAGTCCTTATTTGGTTTTTACGTCCTATAGGATTGTTGTCATAATTCGTGACTTTTCGATAAATATTAACTGTTACCGTGTTTTGATTTAATTCAAGAGATTTTGCACTTAGAAATGGTAATAAGACATAAATTATGTCGCTTAAAATTTGAATCAAGAAATTCAAATCAATAAATCATAAAATCAAGGAACAAGTATTGAAATCTCAGAGTAATAATAAGACATAGAGTTGCCATGCCTATACCAATACAATAATACATGTATTTTGAAGTGGGTATCCTACTATCCTTGTCTGTACAATTTATTGGCGAGGGGGTATGGCGGGTAATGAGGGGTTATGGAGTTTGTTTACATTTGAAGTAAGTTGGACCATAAAACAGTGGCGGTTGTAGAGATAGTATATATTTATAAAATAAATAATTTCAGGTGAAAATGTATTCTGTTTGAATAGTTCCTACAGGAAATCTGATTTTTATTAAAGACTAGTTGTTGCCCGCGGCTTTGCCCGCGTAGAATTTGGTAGTTATAGTACTAATTAGTACTATACTAAAACCAATAATGATTGAGAGTAGAAGTAAGCCCAGTTGACAGCAAATCGGGGGCGTCCTCCCGATTATATATATAACTTTTTTCACTATTGGGTTGCAGCAATTGATAAGTGAACTCTTTATAACTATTCTCAAGCTTTCGAGTAACTTAAACTCATCGTCAGGGGTACTAGAAAATACAAATTACAAATTTTTGATAATAGAATATAATATAAATGTAAATGTACAAATTCTCGTCTAATCTTCAACCTCAGATTCGTCACTGTTGCTACCGCTATCATCAAAGTGAATTATGATTGGTTCAATATTGTGTTCAATACGGTTGTCTACGTCCCACATTTTTTGCTCCTCTTTTAAAACATGCTGCATGCGATTCTTCCAGTCTTCTGCAGAAACAGTTCGAATAGCTTCTTGTAGGTGATGTTGCACGTCCACTAATTTGAATGTTCTGTTTTCTCGTGCCACATATCCTTTTACTTGCGCCCAGATTAATTCTATTGGGTTTAATTCGCAGTGGTATGGTGGTAACCTTAAAACTGTAATTCCACGACTTAACGCCATTTCATCCACTGCGAATTTTTTATATTTGTCTGTGTGTAATTTTATTAGCTGAAGTAGTTCTGCCTTTAAACTATCTTTATTATATTGGATGTTCTTATTAATTAACCATTCTTGAATTGCTGCTTTTTTCCATGATTGTTTCGGTAATTGTTCTAAATGTCGACTATGGGGTATGGGGCATTGTCCATGACGATGACAGACCCAGGTTCCACAAGTTGAATGATGCCTTCAAACCATTTTTCAAACACCTCCGCATTCATCTCTTCATGATAGTCGCCTGTTTTCTTAGATTTAAATATTAATTCACCATTTGGTAAAAATCCACCGTCGCTTCCTATATGCGTAACTATCAGACGACTACCTTTTCCAGATGGCTGTTTTAACCCAACTGAAAAACCTTCAATAAAGGCTTGTCGTGCACTTGTTATATTACCATCCTGCCATACTTTTTTGACCGTATGTCCTTGGTTAACCCATCCATGGTTAACCATGAATCCATGAAGTACAATTTTTTTTGAGCTTCCGAAATTCGTCAATTTTTCTTAGATAGTTCCTTCTCCATGCTATTATTTTTTGACGTTCAATGAGAATGCTTTTCCTGTCAACTTTTCCGTACGTAAATTTCATTTCGTGTGCAAGTTTCCTAAAAGTTTCTTTACCCATTTTTGGGACCAATTCATGATCGATAAGTGCCTCCAGAACTGTTTGTAGTGTACACTATTATTTCATTTCAGGTTATTTTTGCTTAATATAATTGTTATTTTCAGCTATTTATTTTTAATTCTTCTTTTTCAGTTGTTTCAGGGATTTCAAATCATTATACATATTAGACAATGGAAGTCCGAACTAGTGAAATTCATAATGAAACATTGTCAATCACCTTCACAAAAAAACAAAGTTATGCTGCCTTCAATGTTAAGGATGGAAAAGGCCTCTCTATTGTCTTTTTGCTAGTACCACATGCTATTACCACAGTATACGTATATACTGTGCTATTACTGTCTTCCTCAGAGTTTTATTACTGAGATGTCTTCCTGTTTCACAGTTTCTCAGAGCATAGTTAATGTTTCGTGACTCATGTCGTATAAGTCACCATCATTAAACAAATCAAATTATAAATTATCTCGTTAGGAATAATCAAGGTTATAGAAACAAAAACACGTAATCTACATTTGATAGTAATAATTTCATCATTATATTAGATGAGTAATAATTTAATGATAAAATGTTTATCTTCTATCGCTAACGTTGTCTATTCACAGAAAATTTTTAATGTATCTCATCTCTCTATCGAAACAAAAAAATGCTAGAAGAAATTAAAACTCCAGATGATTTGATGAAATATGAGGATAAAATCAAACCAAGGTACATTTTTTGTAGTACAATTTTAGCAGTAAAACGATTTTTGATATTTTATATTTTTTATATCCAAAATATGAACTGCAAAAGTCTTGTTTTAAAATTCCCGAATATGTTTCTTATACGTCATTGTGTAATCATTGTCCTACTCTAGTAATTATAAATAGTTCACTCATTAACCCTTCAATTATATAGCCTTACCTTTTTTTATCGAAAACAAAATAATAAGTATTATTTATTATGATGTAGTTGGCTAAGCACCCAGTGGTTGTCATGGAATAAGTTCTCCGAAAGTATGCTTAGAAGTATTGAAAAAAGGATATTACAAAGTGAGTGTGTAATATTGTCAATTATTCAAATATAATGATTATTTTATAATTAGCAGTGTGCAAAGTTCCATATCGAGGCTGGTTTGTGGATATCGGACCAGTTGTTGGTCCAGCTGATAAAATATGGACCATTTCCATGAATACGGAGTCTCTCAAAACACCCTTAGTTCTTCTTCATGGTCTCGGAGCAGGTGTAGCGATGTGGTGTTTGAATTTGGATTCGTTTTCCAAAACGAGACCTGTATATGCATTAGATTTGTTAGGTGAGTTTGTGAGACATAATATCTAGTAATTGTGATGTTATCCACAATGGCGCTAAATAGTTCGGTATCTCAGTATTGGCAATGAAAACTTATAAAATAACAGGCACTTTCGTTTCATAATTATAAGCTATGGATTTCACCAGTTACCACAAAATTTTTTTATATTTCTCACAATTGTATCTTTATCAAATATTAAAATGATGCATTTCTGCTTGAGGAAGCCATTGTATAGTGAAAAGCATCACGGTATTTGTAAAACCTTTTATAGTGAAAATCTTACAGCAAACTGTATTTTAAGTTTCATTAAGAAGACTCTCCTCCTCTTGATTATCAAGACCAACAGATATACTGAGAGTCAAAATATTCAACAGTCTCAGTTCAGATGTAAAAAATTCTCCTAAAATTTAAGTTATTTCTGTTACAAAATTGTTATTACCCTTTATCTGATTTCATTTTACACTTACTTCACTGATAATATATATTGCATACTTTTCTCCATCATGTAATGTTTTCAAAAACTTTTTTTTAAACTTCAGTGGCGGCAATTGTATTTGTAATCTTAGTATTGGTACTTGAGGTAAATTTGAAAATCTGTACTGGGGTACTTTCGTTGGGTACTCCAAAAAAAAAGAAAGAAAATTGACTGCGATTAACGAGATGTATTTTATTTGGAAGTAAAAAAGTTATGTATGTTCAAAATAGTTGTTGATTTTCTAAGGCTATGGTCGATCTTCAAGGCCAGATTTCAGCACTGATAGTGTCAAAGCTGAACACCAGATGGTGAAATCTATTGAAGAATGGCGCAAGGAGATGAAATTGAAGGAATTCATCGTCGTTGGACACAGTTTGGGAGGATTTTTGGCAGCTTCATACTCAATATCTTATCCCCACAGAGTTAAACATCTTATTTTGGCAGACCCTTGGGGTTTTCCAGAAAAACCTTTGGAATTCAAGGATGTCCCTTTTTTGATCAGGTCACTTTCATATATTATGAGACCTTTCAACCCTCTAGCAGGCATTCGGATGGCTGGACCATTCGGTAAGTAAAGACGATTTGCAAGTATGTGAAAATATAATTTTCTCAACTTCATTTTCAGGCCCCTGGTTCATCAATACTGTAAGACCTGACATATCCAAGAAATATTTAGATGTACTGGAAGATCCTTATCTGATTCCTCAGTACATATATCAGTGCAATTCTCAGCATCCCAGGTAAGGAATTGCTTGTAGTGTTGATTATTGACTCTTGATGTGGAAATTATTGAAATACCCTTGGTTTTCTCTTCCTGAACACAAAAATTGAGAAAAAAAATCTAGTTCATGAATGAGTTGCAAGAGACAAATGAGGCATCCTGGTAAAAGTGTATTTTTTATATTTTGATTATTCATTGGAAAATAATGCTTTCAGCCAAACCAGCGTAGAATTATTTGACTGAACGGGCTGAAATGAGCTGTTATTAAGTTTGGGTTTGATATAAAGTTCTGTTTTTTGTGAGATAATAACCATAGAAAGGGAGATTTTCCATTTAATTATCATTTCTTTAACAACTTATGAAAAGTTTAACCTTTTTTATTGTCAGTTTCTATGTATAAGCACTGAATAAAACTTGATTCAAACAGTATTTCAACCAGATATTTTTTTATAAAAGTTATTTAAATACTTGAAATAGATTTACTTTTGCTAAGATGTTCTGCATCATCTGAAATGCATTGCAACCATAAAATCTGGTTTTCCACCACCCTTTAAGCATTTTTCAGTAAATCGTGGATATCCATTGAGTTATTTCATATATTAACCAGTTATTACATTTGATATATAAATCAAAAGTGAGTTCTGAGTTTTTTTTGAGTTTGTTTTCACGTCAAGAAGTTTCTTTCAGTTCAAAATTTCAATCAAATATTCTGGGTAATCAGGACCTTTTTGATATAAATCCAAATTAGTTTTTCAGATTTTTTTTGGTTTCTTCTCAGTCCAACAAGTTTCTTTAAATTACAAGTGCCAACCAAATGATAGTTATTTTGACTTTTGGATTTCATCGGTGTCGGCCATAGCAGTTCTAAACAGTGAAAATTTTTGACCACCCAATATTATAACAGTTTTTCCATTGGGGCTTTACCAAATCGAAAGTTTATGTTACGCAACCTTAGATAATACGGGAACTTAGAGACAGAATTACCGAAACTTGAACTAGCATTACCCAGAAATATTCCATAATATTATAAATGAGTTCGAAAATAGACTGTTTCACTGTCAGGAAGTTCAATTTTTTTAATATTTGCTCGAATTATTTTTTTATGTATAAGATAAATAATAAGGAGCTTATCATTTTATGCTTATCTATTTTATTTTATACTTATCTATTATCATTTTATACTTATCTACTGAAGACGAAGACTAATTAGCCAGAAACACGTGTCTGCGTTTTCCCCACTTTTTTTCTATGAGTGATTGTCCAATGCTTTTCTTTCATCAATTGATATCATCCCCCTCCTAAAATTTATTTCCAATGTAACTTTTTGTCTAATTATTTGTTTACCATTTTAAAATTTATTTCCGACAGCCTGTTTCATTCTAAACAAAAAATGTCTCTTGGGTTTTTTGCCCAAAATAAACCTGTTCACAGCAAAAAATTATTTTAGGAACAACTACAGAGATACATCGTCATAAATGCAAAAATACGAAACTAATCTATCTAGTAGATCGTGCTCATACAATGAGCACAAAAAGGCATACATAAATCCAATAGTATATAAATCAAACCTCGCAACACACGCCATACAAAACAAACATAATTTGCCCCACCAGAGAACATAAACCTCACAAAACAAGTCAACAAGGGAAACCGCATGGACATTTGGGAAAACTTCCATAAATTTAACAGTCATAAATCACTTATCGAGGAACAAGTACAAATCAATACACAACAAGACCTCACATTCAATATATTAAACAAAACCATACACATTCCTAGAGAAGATCTAACACAAAGAATAGTACCTGATGCCGTACAAATACAGGCAAATTTAACTAAAGTACCTGAGTTGAGACGTTCGGACCGTATAAAGAGGCAGGCGACAGGATGACAAGTTCAGTTTGAGGAGTGCTTAGAAGATGACAGTACGACCAGCTGTCGAAAGCGCTCGCAGATAATTAATAGAAGATATAAAGCTTCAAATCCTTTTTGTGAATTTTAATATTAAAATACTGAAAATAAAGGAAAATTAGTTGCATCATTCAAAAAGAATATATGTTATAGTTTGTTTCATTATAAATTTAATTGTGAACTCTGAAATATTTTTTTCTTGATACCTTCGAACTGAACTTTCAATTTATTAGGTAATCAATGTAGTAATAGAATTATTATTTTAAATTCAGCGGTGAAAGTGCCTTCCATACAATGATGAATGGATTTGGATGGGCTAAAAACCCCATCGTCAGACGTATTGATCAACTAAGTGAAGATATTCCAATTACTTTAATATATGGATCCCGCTCATGGGTGGATCATTCTGCAGGAGAAGTGATTGCCGATAAAAGGATAAACTCTTATTTCAAATTACAGGTAAGCAGTGTCTTTTTTTATTTGTTTTTGGGTTTTGGAATATCCCTAACGGAGGCACCAATTTTTTTTTTGTCTCAGTTAGGGATATTGATACCGAAGACTATTCAAATTTATGCAGAATTTACGTCAAGCGAAACTTCTTTGAAAATCCCAAAAGCAATCTACCGAGTTTCAAGGGAGTAATTCTTTGAAACTCAAGAATAAATATTGAGATATTGAATATTTTTTCATGTTTTTACCACAAGCCAGTGGCTTACAATAAGCCAATCTCCACGAAACCTCTATTTTTGTGCTATTGGCCAACTGTAAAGTTTTCTTCCATTTTTTGTTTTCTTTATTCTCTTTTTTTTAATCCATAGACTATGAAGAGAAAAAAAATTGGAAGACAAAGTGAATGTTTTTGTAATGGTTGTTTCTTTAACTTATTTGCAATTAATTGCTCTAGTTACGTCCTTCAGGTTATAAAATCATTTAGAAAATCTAAAAAGTATTGTGGAAAATTATGAGTTATTTGTATCAATATTTTCAAAAGCGAAAATGAGAAGTAAAATAAGCAGATGTTCAAATTTGCAGCTTTATATGTATCAACGGAGAAACATCCTCACAATGTTCTGAGAGCGGGGCCTGTACTTGGATTTGAATCACTACTTGACGTAGTGATGTCTGGTTTTGTGACATTTTCCTTCTTAGGTAAATGTCACAAATGTGAAATTTTTCACTAATGCACAAACTTTTTTTTTTTTCATCTCATCTCGAAAATCTCAATACAAAGTGATATTTTTTGAACTTTGATTTCGAAAAGTACCTTTTTTACTACAAGAAAATATCGAAGATATTAAGCTTTCCTTTTTCTATGCCAGTGAAAAAGTGAGTAAGTAGTTGTTAACTAACTCTGATATAGGCCAGCTTTGACCTTTTCACTTCTACGCTGGCACACAAAAATACTATCTTTGACATTTAAAAAAAAAAAAGAGGTACACTTCGATGACAAAGTTGAAAATTTCGAAATAAATGACGTAAAATATGGCATTTGAAAAAAAATTTCAATTTTTGAGTTTTTATTTAAAAACCGAGCAAACTTCGTCGTTTGTTTCTCCCTACATGGAGTTGTTTGCCAATTTTCTATCGATGACGTCATAATGCTTCCATAATGAATTTGGAGAAAACAGCTATACCCGAATTGTCATATTCCAAACATTCAAATGGTTAGATGATTAGAAAGACTTTTATGCATTTGACAGAAATAAAACTAGAGAATCTGTCGTTACTGGGAGTGTGGGGAACCAAATAGATGTTTTGGGTAAGCAAATATTACATCATAGGGATCAACAAAGCGAAAAAAACTTTTTTTTCAATTCAGGATTGGTCATTTACAAAAATATTTCAAATCAAGATTGTTTTTTACAAGAAATTGCCTACGAACTAGGGATTTCTGTAAAATATACCAGAAATATTTAAGGACGAATACAAATCACCTTAATGAAAGTTCATCACCTTAATGAAAGGGATTACAGTAGGAGAGTACGATTTGCGAAGTGTTCAAGACATAAATAGGGAAGTTGGAAATATTTGTAAAAAACCGATATGGACGGACAAATCAAAATCGACCAATATTAGTTGGATTTACAGAAACATCTATTATAGGTGGAATAATACAATTGAACATCCCTTCCCTACTATCCCTACTTCCCTACTAATATTATAAATGCGAATGTAAGTTTGTTTGTCACGGTTTCACGCAAAAACTACTCAACCGGTCATCATGAAATTTTGTACACATGTTATTGGAGGTATTAGAAGTATCATTGGATACTTTTTATTAAAAAAAATAATATTATTCTATTTGAGATAAAAAAATTGTTTGTCAAAAAAATCGCAGTGGTATGGTGGTAACCTTAAAACTGTAATTCCACGACTTAACGCCATTTCATCCACTGCGAATTTTTTATATTTGTCTGTGTGTAATTTTGTTAGCTGAAGTAGTTCTGCCTTTAAACTATCTTTGTTATATTGGATGTTCTTATTAATTAACCATTCTTGAATTGCTGCTTTTTTCCATGATTGTTTCGGTAATGGTTCTAAATGTCGACTATGGTATGGGGCATTGTCCATGACGATGACAGACCCAGGTTCC